GCCTAAATGTGCGAAAAAAATAAATAATTGGTTAATTATGTTTTTCTTTTTTACTTAATTAAATTTAAAACGGTTAAAAATAAGTCTTTTTTTTAAATTAATTGATAAACTAATAAATAAATATAAGATTATTTTCTTAACTCTTCAAAATTTAAATTTGTGTCTATAGTTGATTTCATTTTAGATTTTATAGGAAAAAGAAAATATATAAATTAGGATTTAGTGCTGGTAAATATTATGCTCTTTGTTTTTATAGTAAAATATTAATTTAGAAAATTGTTTTGGATAAATTAGTCATTTATTTTCTGCTAATTTAACATAGAATTAAGAAATTTAGGCTAATTTATTATAAATAATGAACTAAATAATGGTTTTTAGGAAAGAAGTTCCTGTTATTTTTTTCAGTATAATCGAAGGATATTTTTAGAGCTTTGGAAAGATCAGTAATAAATTTTAGAATAGTGAGGCATATAATAATCTAATCGATTTTTTTAAAAACTTAGTTTTATTTTAATCTTCGAATTTAAATTTTTTGGAAAAAAATTTAAATCTTTTCGAAAATATTATAGAATTTGTTTTTTAGAGAATTATTTTTTAAGAAACTCAAAATGAAAGTTTAAAGGCTGACTGCTTCTTTTTTATATAGATTTTTTTTTAGAAGTATTTTAATTATTTAGATGAAAAAATGATAAAAATTATATACGAAAACACATAAAAAATTATGCAATAAATAAATTCGTTCAATTTCTACTTTATTTAAAGTAGAATTTTAGGAGTATTCTAAAGCTCGATTATATGTAATGTAGAAAAATCAATTTGTATTTTATAATCAATGGATATTCTATATAGTTTTTTAAATGTTATAACTTAGAAAACTAATATTTATGTTAGATAATATGATAGAAAAGTAAATTGATATATATATATATAAATATAAATATATATACATATATATATAATATATATATATATATATATATATATATATATATATATATATATATTATAAATATTAGATTGCATTAGTCTGTATATGTAAATTAATTTTATAAGGAAATTTTTAACTTAATTAAATTGTAAGTTTTTTGAATTTAGGTATTGATTTGTTGAAAAAATAAAGTGAAGTTTAAATTAAGAAATAATATAAATAAGAAGAAATTTTATGTTAGAATAATAAAAAAACTAAATAAAAAAAAGAATAATTAAATGAAGATTTTATAGATTTAGAAAATAAAGAAAATATTTAAAATGATTAAGAATATGATGTGAATTTGGTTATTTTTAATAATATCGATTTATCTCTTATTGTAAATTATATAATTATTATTTAAAAAATAAAATAAAAATATAAATAAATATTAGAAACAAGATAAAAATAAATTTAAACAAGAATTATAACCTTTTAATGAAATTAACGAATTCGAGTTTTTTAAATAAAGTGTTTTGTTTATGAAAAATTAAAATGAAACTGTATTTTATTAAATAATTAATCTATTAGGAAAAGAATAGTAAGAACATCTTAGATTTTTAATTAATTTGTAAAATGTTTAAGTGGGAGATTAAAATTTAGTTAGGGTTATTTATAAATGCAAAAGAAAGTAGAATTGATAATATTTTTTTTAATATTTTGTTGAAATTTTTTATTTTAATTTAATAATATTTTTGTTTTTAATATATTTTTTGTTTTATTTCAAAATATATTACATAATTATATTTTATTAATTAATATTTTTTTTATCAAAGTTTTTAAAATAAATGAAATAATTTTCATTTTCTATTGAAGTTCCTTTAAGTTTAGAAGTATTTAAAATTAATTATTTTTATTTTTTACGAAGTTAAAATTAATAAAAACCATTTTTTTGTTAATTTAATAAAAATAAAAGCAAATATAAATAGGATAATAATATATTGATTATGTAATAGATTTTGATATATAATAATCTTAATAAGAAAGGGTCATTTTTAATGAAAAAGTAAAATAAATATAAAAAAAAATATTATATATATTAAAATATAAAAGAACTTAGAACAAAAAGCATATATTTTATGTTAATAACTTCCTACTCTCTTTAAAAAAATATTAGAAAATAAATCAATATAAATATTTTAATAGAAAACATATAATTAATATAATTATACATCTAATTATAAAGTTAAAAAGTATTTAAATTGATATTTTTATATTTTTTACAGTTTTAATAATTTCCCTTTGTCGAAATAACAACAAATTCGAAAGTAATTAAAGGAAATTATATGCCTGATGGCATAGATCCTAATGTAAATATAAACAAAATATTAAAAAAAAAATAATAAAAAAAGAATTTATATATAGATGTAATAAATGATAACATAGAGTAATTTAAAGGATACGAATATCAAGTATAATAAAGTTTATGTAAGTAATTTAATTTAAAAAAACTGAAAACTGGCAATAATAATAGAAAAATAATATAAATACTATAATAAAAACAATATAAATAAAAATAATAGATTATGATTAAATATAAAATAATAATCATGTAATAATATATTAAAAAAATAAAAAAAAATATAAACATTATATATATATATATATATATTTATATATTTATATATATATATATATATATTTATATATATTATTTTAATATATATATTTTTTTATATATAGTTACCTGAATGCATTTTAGATTTTATAAAAAAATATTATATTTATTACTATAAATCTATGTTAATTACATATTAAAGATGGAAAAATTTAAACGAATTAGAATTATAAAAAAAACAAAAATAATTATTAAATTTTCAACCTAAATTATTAAAAAAAATTCCTTAAATATTTAATATAAAAATTGATACTTTTTTTTAATTTTTAAAAGATACTAATTATAATAGGTATTTTATTTTATATTAACTTAGACTAAATAAATATATATATATATAAAAACCAGTATTTTAAAAAGTTAAAATCGACTTTTTTAGGAAAACTCATTATAATCATAACTTACTTAAAAAACAATGAAAAAAAATGAAGGTTTTAATAGTGAATATAGATAAATTTTGGATAAAAATAGTGATTCATCTTCAGAAATTATAATTAAAAGAAATATTATAAGAAAAAAAGAAGGTTTTATTCTGAAAAAAGGAGACGGACCATTAGATTATGATTGGAATTTAAGATATTTAGTTATAGATTGTGAAAATTTAATTTATTTTAAAAATTAAAATGATAATGAACCTAGAGGCTATATAAGATTAAAAGACTGCTAAATTTCTAAAATTATAAACATAGAGAAAGTATTAATAAATATATGTATATGTATATGTATATGTATATGTATATGTATATGTATATTATATATATATATATATATATATATCTATATATATATATATATATTTATATATATATATATTTATATTTACATTTACATATTAATAAATAATATTATATGCATTTTTTTTAGGAAAGAGATTTAGCATTTTATATTGAAAACAATTAGAATTAAAAAAAATATTATTTTAGTGGAGTAACTAAAGAAGAAAATGAAAAATGGCATTCTGAAATATCTAAAATAATAAAAAATAACAATAATGTATAAAATATATTAATAAATACTAAACTAAATAGTTTTAAAATACATTAAAAATAATAGAATTAATAATAATAAGAACACAAATCAAATCAAAAAGATTAAAATAATAATGAAGATTAAAAATTTGTATTTATAATTATAATTAAAAATATATTATTAAAAATAATATGTTTATTTAAATTACTATATATATATATTATATATATATATTTATATATATATTTATATTTATACTTATATTTTTTACTTTAATATATCTATTTTTATAATATATGTTTTTATTTATATAATAAAATAGTATAAAGAATATGATAAATAAAATTTTCCAGAAGAATTATTACCTTAAAAACATATTTTTTAAACATTATAAAAAAGTTTAAATAATAGTTAAACTGATGAAAGTTCTATTTGGACTTTAAATAAATTTCGAAATGGTGTTAGAATATATTAAAATAACCTCTAAACAACATAGAATAAAAATGAAAATATTTTATTTAACAAATATACTTTTTTTATTATTTTTTTCGGAATATTATTGTTTTATTTCATAAAAAATATTATTTTTTTGAGTGTATTAATAGTTTTAATATTTTCGTTTTTTTATAAGAAAATTTTAATCAGTTAAAAACTTAATTCTAAATAATAAAATGAGATTGTGGCTAAAATTTATGTAAATTAGGAAGGATTTATTATTTTTGGATAGTTAAAAAATCTTTCTTTTAAAAAGTAAATAGATTTTCATTTAAATAGTTATTAAAAAATATAATCTTGTGAATAAAAAAAGGAATAAAAGAAATAAAAAAGTAAAAATTTTTCAGGCGAATATAATTTTAAAGGAAATAATGAAGATTTTTAAACAAAATTAAGTGGGAAAATTCACCGTTTTTCTTATTAAAATAATTATTTTGTAGTTTATTAAATGGTTAATTAGAAATTTTAAATGAGCGAAATATTCCTTATAGAACATATATCGGAGAATAGATCTAGTTTAAAATATTTTTGTCAAATAAATTGTGGAAAATTAAAAGAAAAAATAGGTTTTTTTATTTATAAAGTAATAATAATATATATATATTTATAGGGAAAATATTAGTAAAACGAACTTAATAATTGGCTGTTTTATCTGAAATTTTAAACGAATAAAAAATAAATTAATTTTAAAGAAAAATCTCTATAAAAGATAATATTCCCCATTAAATAATTTAACAATAATAAAACGAAATTTCTTTAAAAAGCAATAACTTATAGTAGAAATTTTAAGACTTCTAAAAATAAATACAAATTGTTTAAAAATTATAAGATAATGACACTTCTCATCTAAAAAAAACCCATTTAGACACAAGAAAGCCAGGCTATAAAAGAGTAAAAGAAGGAGGAATAGGTTGTTTTAATCAGGAAGAAATTAAAAGCCAAGAAGGCTTGGTTATGGAGTTAATTTAAAAAGTCGGGAAGTAACTTATAGAAGGAAAAGATGTAGTTTCAGTTAGTTTACCTGTAAGAATATTTGAACCTAGGAGTACTATAGAAAGAATATGCGATAATTGGGCTTTTATGCCTATATATTTAAGAATGGCGGCTAACACTAAAGTATTATATAATTTATATTTATAAATATATATTTTTTAAAGGATTAATTAGAAAGATTTAAACTTACTATTAGTTACGCTGTAGCAGGTCTACATAATGCTTGTAAATAAATGAAACCTTTCAACCCGATTTTAGGTGAGACTTTTTAAGGGTTTTGGCCTGATGGAACTTCTATATGTATTGAGCATACAAGGTCTTTTTTTATTTTGTTTTTTAAATATAAATTTATATTTATATATACAGTCATCATCCGCCTATATCACATTTTTATGTTGAAGATTAATAGAAGAAATTTTCTTATTTTGGATATTATGAATATAAAGCAAGATTGAAAGGTGCTAATTCAGTATTAGGAAGCTAAGATGGACCTAATCATGTATTATTTTATGATGGATAGGAAATTATTTTTAGGTAAAATACATATGATATATATATATATATATATATATATATATATATATTTATATATTTATATATATTTATCTTTTTTAGTTATCCTCCATGTAAAATAACAGGACTTTTATATGGAACAAGAGTATTAGAATGGTTCGATTAAATGGTTTTTAGGGATGAAAAAAATGACTTGGAGTGTATTTTGAGTTTTGAATAGCCTGGAGGTTATTTTTATAAAGCTTAGAACCCTACGGACTTTTTTATAGGTTAAATTAGGAAGATTTCGGATAAAAATAATATTATTTGTGAAGTAAAAGGGTCTTGGTTAGATTATTTAATGTTTGATGGAAAAAAATACTGGGATATTGAGATTGTTGAACCTGCAGGGGTTATTTGGGTTGATAAACCTTTAAGTTCAGATTGCAGATATAGATAAGATTTAATTTTTTTAGCTTAAAAAGACCTTGAACAAGCTTAAGAATGGAAAACTAGATTAGAAGTTATTTAAAGACATGATAGGAAATTAAGAAATGATAATAATAATAAAAAATGATTATAATTATGATATATTATTTATATTTAATTATTTTTATATATATTTTTTTTTATAATATATTTATTTATATTTTCATGATTTTTATAATTATTTAAGTTTTAATTCTCCAAAAAAATTTTTTATTATCAAATGTATTTGCTCAAGTAATTATTATTTAGTGGCTTTTTCCGTCCAGTTTATAAATTTTACAAAATCAAAAATATTGTTTGAGCTTTCAAGAAAAGACTTGAAGTTTATTTTTATGTTTTTTTAATCGAAAATATTATTACTTAACATAGATAATAAAATAAGTAAGGCAGATCTCAATATATATGTAGTTTGGAGTTAATTTTCACATTTTTTACCTACTTAATAGGCGATTTTAAATACATGATTTAAAGCTAGTCTTATAGGAGTTTTTAATTATTTTTAATAATCGCTTTCTATAATTTCTTTAGTGATTACTTGCCTTATATCTTCAGAGTCTATATCGTTTTCTTTATCTATTCCGTAATAAAAAATCGCAAATTTTACCAGCCATTCATGTATATCTCTTTTTAATTTGCCTTTTAATAATAAGCATGATTAAGTATTTAGGAAGTCTTTAAAATCTTATAAATTAAATATATTGTTGTTTTATTCTAGTGAATTTAATAGTCTTTTGGCATAGAAAATAAGTAGTTTTGCCAAAAGGTAGTTTAGGACGGATTATGTGGATTAGTTTAAGTTTAATTATTATAATGAATACATTGTATTTTCTAAAATGTTATATATCCCGATTTCATATAAATATATTTAAGTGTGATTTTCGAAATATTATTCGCCTTTTATTATTAACTTCGTTTTTAATTGGTTATCCATAAAATTCATATTTAAAGACAATTAACTTGTTTATTATAAATAACTTTATCTTTTATATTCATCTGTAGATAATGTATTCATTTTTAACGTTATGGGTTAACTAATTTTGCATATATATATATATTTATAAATATTAATATATATTTTTTTATTTTTAATGCATATAAATATAAAAAATACACTTCATCTTCTTCTTCACAATTTAAATCATATTAAGTTTATTAATATCGTGAATGTGAAAAATTATTATTACTTATAGAATTTATTTCTGATGAAATGGATTTTATTGATGACTCTTCTTTTATATAGTTTTTTGTAGGGGGGAGTATAAATGAACATTAATATATTGCTTTAGGACCAGGAATGCGAATGTTTTTTATTTGTTGATCATTACACATTTATATTTTTTAGATTTTTATGTGTGGAGATTCGTCTGAATTTATATCTAAAAAGTCATCGTCATTGATCATTTATATGTAATTTTAATTATTTTCACTTTTTATATGTGTTTCTTGATTATTTATTTGTTATTTAATATATATGTTTTTTATTATATATTTTTAATTTTTATTTTTTATTAATTTAATTATAAAATTTAAAAATATTTTATAAAGTTTATTCTATTTTTTTATTTTTATTTTCTTTGTAACTTAAAAAAAAAAAACTCAATAAACAAAATAATATTACATTATATATTTTTAATTGTATTTTTTTAATTGTTAATTTTTTAGAAAAAAATATCTTTTAAACAAAAATATTACTATATAAAAATTATAAAATCAAATATAAATATAATAATAATAATTATAATTTAATAATAAATAATATATGTATATAAATTATAAAATTAAATTAATAAAAAAATTAAATATAGAATATTTATATATATCTATATCATATATTAAATATAAAAAAAATTGTAAAATATTATTATACATATATAAAATTTTAATAATTTTATTTCATTTTATAGTCTTTTTAGTTAAATACTATTATTTAAGATATAAAAAATTATATTTTATTTTATTTTTAATAATTTTTTCTCGATTAAAATTAAATAATTATAAAATATTAATATTAATTCGAAAATTAAAGATAATTTTTTTTTTATAAAATTAAAATTAAAATTTATTATATTTTTCTTATTTTATATATTTTTTAGAAATTATATTTTAAAAAAATAATATATAAAAAATATAATTATCTTTTTTTTGAATTAATAATAATTAAAAAACATATATTTTATTTTTATATATATTTATAATAAATAATAATTTTAAATTAGTTTATAATAATTTTATTCTTTAAAAAAATATTAGTTTAAAGAAAAAAATTATTTAATTCTTAAATTTATAAATTATTATTAGACATTATAACAAAATAATTTTTTTATAAATATATGTATTTTAAAATAAATATATTAATGAATAAATAAACAAAATAAAAAATATTAATTTATATTTAAATTATTATTTATTATATTTTTTTATTTAAATACTTTTTTTAATTAGTCATTTTATATATATTAGTAAAATTATTGATATATAAAGCAACTCTTGTTATATTTATGAAAATTTAAATTTCTCTAAATATTATATATATATTTATAAATAATAAAATAGAAAAATATTAATTTAAGGGAAAATATATTTCTATATAAATTATAAACAAAATAATATAGAATATTTTTATTCAGTGTAGATTCTAGTCCTCTTTAATTATTATTAAAAATATTTTTATAGTAATAAAATATCTTCTTTTTTTATAGATATTAATTAATTTTTATATAAAATTAAATTATTTAAATAATGAATAGAGAAATTATTGTTATAAAATACTTTAAATTAAAAAAAAATCAAAGAAAATAATAAAATATTAAAATAAATAACACTTTATATAATAAAGATTTAAAAAAAATATATAAATTTAATATTTTATAAAGGATTTTAAAAATATAAAAAAATTAAAATAAAAAAATATATAAAAATAAAATAAAAAAACTAAAAATATAATTATAATTATAAAATAAATAAAAAAAAAAAATATAAAATTAACATCAAATTAATCATATAATTATTTATTACATAACATAAAAAAAACTATATTTAATATAATAATAATTAAATAATATTTAGTTTATATAATAAAAAAATATTAATTATTTAACTTTACAATAAAATTATAAAAATGTTAATTAAATATAAAAAATAATTGAAAATAATTTATAAAATATAATTTAAATTTTCTATTTTATTAAAAATATTTAAATAATATATAAATAAAAAATTACGTGTAAAAAATAATTGATTAGATGAATTTATAAGTTTTAAAACAAATTATTTAATATATATATGATTAAAAATAAAATAAAATATAAAAATATATAATAAATAAATAAAAATATATTAATATTAAAATATATAAATTATATTTAATTTTTTATTTATTTATATATATATTTTATTTTTTATATATAAATCTATATTTTTATAAATATATATTAATTTATATATTAAATTAGAAAATTAATTAATTTTTTTT